TAAATATTTTAGCATTTTAAAAAAGTAAATCAGAGCTAAAAAAGTGCAAAAACACAGGCAAATTTGCCTGTATTGGTTTATATATTAAGGGATAAGTTACTCTATGATTATTTAATACAAATACACTATTTGGATTAATTTTTAAAGATTTGTTGAAATCAAAAGAGTATGCTGCTTTATTAATTCATAATGCAAATATAATATTTGCTTCAAATTTTAATAATCTATACCTAAATTTGTAAAACATATATATATATCATTTAATAAGCTACTCTATAATTAATATTTATCTATATTGTATATTTGAATTAGATGAATTAGAGAATACAAGTTTCAAATTTGTAATTGTCAAATAAATTTATATTGCAATTAAATAATCTGATATAATCGGTAGAGTTTTTTAAATTACTGCTAACATATTCTATTATCTTACCACCAAATAATTTCTTGAATAATTTGGGTATTTGTCTATTAATTTATTTTAACCAATTATTTAAATAATTAATAAATTGGCTCTAGCCAATTACTAGGTCTTAAAATAGAAGATATACACATATACATACAGATTTCTTTTGCTATTATTCATTGTTGCTCATTTGGCTATTGATTTTTTAATTATACTAAATTCTTTAAAGTATATAATTACTATATATCAAATATATTTTGTATAAAGATACTAACTTCTAAACCTAATATCTAGTAATCAAATTACATTATTGGTTTTATCAGTAAGAAAAAGTCTAAGTGATCAAATTATGATAATAAATATTAATTATTGTTTATAAATTTAAGTTTTATTTCAACAAAAAAAAGATTACAAAAAGAAAATTTCAAATAAAGGAAAGATTACGCTTATTTGCATATAATTCTTTTAATTGTAATAATTTTATAAAATAACTTCTATTTAATAATATTTATTTTATTGATTTTGTTTTATACAACACTTATTATGCTTCAAATCTTATTTCAAGATAACTAATTCTTATTCTAAAAGTATGCCTATTATTAAAACTTATATTTCAGTCTTTATAAAAGTCAATAGAGCAGGTATAGCATTTCAATATTTATTCAGATAATGCTTATTCAAGATCAATCAAACCAAAAATATAGAAACAAATATGCTAAATAGTGATTACTTGGTATCAAAAATATCTTTGATCCAATTTATAACGTGAATAAAAAAGAAAAAAATATAAATTCTTTATACAGTAATTTGGATTATAAAAATAGATCGAATGTAGTTTTATTAAATCAACTACTTAATAATATTAGTTTAAAAAAATATAACTTGCCTTTTAATACTATGCATAATTACTATGCTAAAATATATAAAGAATATCAATAGTATTTTACTTGATTTATTCTCTCTCTATTGCTATAATGTAGTTTTTCAGGACTGTATTTGGTTTTTTTAGTAATACTATTATGGAAAAAATTCAAATTGAATATACTATTGAATATGAAGGAATGGCTGTTAATTAGGCAGATGTTATTAATGATAATCACTATAAGTTTTTTTAAAAAAATTTAAGTCGAATATAATACTATTAAATATGAAGAAATGAAGGCAGATAATAATCACTATGAGTTTTTTGGAAGTGATAAAATAGTATATATTTGAAAGTTTTTTAAGTAACAACAATATTTCAAATTAACCTAATGTAATATACTAATAATTTTTTTTATTATATTGATTGTTGTATAATATACTAGTAATAGTAAAAAAAAAAAGATTGTTAATTTAAAATTTACTACAGCTTAGAAAGAATTTACTGTAGATAATTATAAGGTATGATGTAGTTTGTTTATAATAAAAAACTTTTAAATCACATATATTATATATTACAAGACATATAAATAATATTTTAAAACTTGATTTATTTGTCATGCCAGGTCGACTATATATAGTATACAGTCAGACCTCCCTAAATACATATTGCTAGGACCACCTCTAAAGCATACATTTAGAGAGAGCTGCAATTAGAGAACACTAATAAAATTGCAATGTTACTGTTAGCATATGATAATGTAGCTTTAGTAACCTTGAAATAATAAATTTGATTGGCTGGTAATCACGTGAATGCATTTATGGAAGGAGTTTTTATAAGTAGGCCAGACAGTTAGCATGCACTTACAGAATAAAGAACATGCGTTTATCTATAAGTCCCACCATAGGCCTGGGCTTATATTATACATTTAGAGGGGTGTTGCATTTAAAGAGGATATATTTAAAAAGGTCTGACTGTATATACATATAGTATATACAGTATACAGTGCAATTCACATGATATAATACTAACACAATTAAAAATAATAAAATAAAAAGATAGCATCCTTTTTTATTATATAGAACTAATCAAAATTAGAAAGGTAAAATTTTATATATATAATATATATAACTATATATATACTATACTGTATATTTATTTAGTTCATTTATCTTGATTCCAAGTATTCTAATTAATTATTAATACTTTATCTGCAATCAATTTTTCTTAAACTTGTACTTGCTGCTAATAGGTTTCTAATACACCTTCTAGTAGTGCTTTTTCTTCTACCTACATAGCCTTACTTTTATTACTAACTAAGACTTCACTATATCAATAGTTGTAAACAGACATATTAGTATCTATTTGAAAATCTTGAACATCCAAAGGAGGCTCTACAGATAAGTCAGATTCTTTATTTAAATATTTTTTTTTATGGTAATTCAAAGATCTTTTTAAAGCAAAGTACTTATTACAATATATTTCTTGATTGATTTATTGATAGTTGGGCAGTACCAATCAAAAAGAAAACACTGTAAATTCATATTTGGAAAAATTAACTTTCTTCTATTAATACAGATAAAAAAAAACTAGAATAGTGAATTGAATTAGCAGATGTATTCATGTTTGCTATGCAAATATCAAAAGGGGTTTGTTGAATTCTAAGTGATAAAAGGAAAAAGTGATTTGGAAAAATTTGATGAATTCTACTTCAAAAGGGTTTGCAACAGCTTTGATCATCACACTTTGTGACTTGAGTTATGTAATAACTAGTTATTATATGTTTCTTTATCCAAAGTATTAGCTTCTTACTTGGATTGTAATATTCTTCAGAAGGATCTATATACTTAACAAGAACTAGGTAACTATTTATAATTGTATTTTCCCATACTGATACTAAAGCATCTCTGGCTGCTTTAAAATTATGCCTTTCTAATTTCTCATTATTTGTTTTTAATTGTGTATCTAAATATATCTTAAATATATTGTGTAGAAGTATGATACCAGCTAAATCATAACTTAGAGGTGCTATTTGTTTTTAACCAGATTAGATGCACTCTAGTAAGGTGCAAAGCATGTCACAATAATGGTGTTGAGGTTGTATTTATCAAAATGATTGATTATCATCTAAATTGTCTTTCTATACTAAGGATTCTTGTTAGGACCACTATTAGTTAGAAGCACTACTACAAGTTTAGATTGCTTATTTGTTGTTGTAGTAAAATTATACAATTGTTTCTCATTCATCAAGTCATCAAAATCTTTACTATGAAAGTACGTAGTACTACTATCATATTTATTACTACAGATTCTTATAAATATTGAACCTGAGTATGTTACTGCTTTAGCATGCCCATATTTGCCTTTTTGTATATTTAATATTGTATAAACTGAAGGAATCAGCTTATGCCTTTCAGCAATAACCCAGTCATAATCTGGAAGCTCTACTTGGTATTCCAGTCTCATAAGAATTGGTGCTATAAAAAAATTATTTATTAGTTTTAATTTAAATAAAAATTCTATTTTTATTTAGTTAAAATCACTTAAAAAGCTATAATATCTATAATTACTAGTATTATTAATATACTGAGTGACTTTTAACCTAAGTTAAATTTTTTTTTTTAATTGTAATCTTTATTTTAAATTACTTTGTTTGTTGGCCGCAGCTAAGCCAAGAGGTATTCATACTTTGTCATCTTGTAATATTAGAGAAGTGACAAAAATCAAGTGATTTTTTAGAGGATAAAAAAAGTTAAAATTATATATAAAAACCTGATCAAATATATAATAAAAAGAGAAGGAGAAGGATATACTTCTGATAAAAAAAAATCAGATAATAAATAATACTGCCCTTATTAAAATGCTTTTTGGATCTAATAAGGATACCATTTCTTTTATATTTCTTACTAAAGCAACACAAAAATGGGTATCCACATGGCTTCTTCTTGTCATACTTTGAGACCTTAGAAGCTTTACTAGTATAGTATTGATATGCCTCTTTCTCTCTTTAGTATTATTCTATTTTAAAATTAGTCTAAGATATATTATAAAGCATAACAACTTATAGTTTATATATATCAGTGCCTCTTGAAGCTGATCTAAAGTCTTGACAGAGCATACTATTTCTGAATATCTTCTTTCATTGGCCTGTCTATCTGAAGAAATAATTTAAACAATAGCTTCTAGTAGGTCTGGTTGTGCTTCTTCTAGGTTTGGTCGACCAATTGTTGGCCTAATGAGTAATATATTAATATCTGCTTCCTTAAGTTGATTTGAAATTAGCTAAAGCCTCTGTTTTTGCTAATGTCTATATTTTTTTTAAAATTTTTGGTGATATTCTAATTTAAATAGAGCTTTTAGTGATGATTTAAGTTTATTTTGAATCTTTTTTTTTTCTCTATTAATATCAGTAATCATTCCTTTATCTTTTAATACTTTAAATGACTGTAGCTTCTAATTTAATTGAGCAATTTTATTTTTGGGCTTGGACTGAGCTAGTGCCTCATGAGTTTTAACTATTTTATTCATAACTATAATATTAATTGATGGATAACAGATAATGAAGCTCTAAATTTTAAGGTAAGTTTTATAAATAAATTCAAGACAAGGTGTTTAAATTTGTTAAAATGATTTCTAAGCTAAAAGTGAATAATCAATTTTTATATATTTTTTTAAAACTACAATATGGTCTAATATTTGATAGCTTCTATATTAGAAAATACACATATTTCATTATTAATGCATATACTAAAATCTAACCTAGGATATATATCTATTTAAACAAAGAAGTATAATATATTATTATTTTAATAATACTAATTAGTCAACTTTCCTTGATTAGTTTATAAGACTCTACACAAATGTGAAAATATGCAAATATTACAATATAAAGTACTTAGATTCTACGCTTTCAAATATGATATACTATTTTAGTAGTTTTCTTGTTAAAAATATGAATATATTTTAATATAGTAATACTAGAAGTTTAAAAATTATTGAAGGTTTTTGTATTATGGTACAGAAATTGTTATTTGATTTTTTAACTCATATTTAACTATTTAAAAAACTATTAATATACATCAATTTTTTAAAAAGCTTTTGGATTAAAAAATTATTAAGGTATATTTTTAAATTTATATTTACAATCAACTTTTTTCATAATCATATATTGAGCTATAAATAGAGGTATTGTAATAAAATTATTAAGGGTTCTGTATTATAATAGTAGACTTATCATATCTAATTAACATCTTAGTTATAGGCTATCAAAAAAACAATTAGAAAATTTAATTATTATTTATAAAGTTTTTATCTGTTGCCTTACTTTTTCAAGACATTAAAATGATTATTACAATAATTGTATTCTATGTATATTAGATCTGTTATTGGGGTTTGGTTAGATTTAAACACCTTTATTACAATGCATAATCTCCATACTTAATAAATAACTTCTCAAATTTTCTTTGTATAAGATATAAAAAGAAGATAACAGTCATATAATTTTTGTTATAACATAATAAACAAAATAATCATTCTAATAGTTTTTATAGTTATTGCTAGGATGAGAAAGTTTGTATTATAAAATCAATTCTAATAGCTTTTTAGAGTTAGATTTTAGTATTTTGATTAGAACAGTGTATTATATATATATATAATTTTGTCAATATACAAAATCTAAAATCTCTATTACTAACCTATTAATTTTTTTTAAATAAATATCCAATTCATATAGGCAATAAGAAATATTTAATATGGCATTTAAAATAGTCTTTATATTAATTTTAGTGATGAAATAGAATATGTATAATATTTACAAAATAAAAAAAACATTTTGTTATTTTATTTGGTGTGATATAAATTAAACAATTCTCTATAGTTGTTTAATTGAAATAGTATAAGATGAATGCGAGTAATATAATTGATAACTTATCAATAATAAAGATTAATAGAAAAATATGTATATATTAATATTGATAATAAAGATAGTAGAGGCAATAAGTATCTATAAATAAATAAAATGATAAAAAAATTAATATTTTTTAAAATTTTCCAATCTTAACAAATAAATATATATATATTGGTTATCATAATATTTGAGACTGTATAAATAGATAAAAATAAGTTAATATCATTAAAGAGGTGTGGCGATCTAGTGTAGTGGTTAGGTTGTCACCCTCACCAAGTGGCAGGTCAAGAGTTCAAAACCCACCAACAGCGAAAATTTGAATAATTACCTGTGTTATGGCAACCGTCTTCTGTCGATCAGTTGGGATAGGTTACCTGTAACTACGGTCGCACCAGCATAACTGGCAGGTCTGGAAATTCGTGCAACCTTGGGTTACATGGAGAAATACAAACTAGCAATGGGCGGTACAAACACTCGATAAGTCTCTAGGTCACGTAAATCTGTAGGACTAGGAGGACAGGAGCCCATTTGGGAAGACCTAAGTGAAGAGGTAGCACAAATTTTTGACGGTACTACTGTAAAGGCTAGACTTGGAAAAAGGAAACTGAAGTGGAAGAACTGGACAGGGCATGATCGGTTTGTAGTAAAGCCGATTCATCAACCAGGCCGCCGGGTTAACTAGAGAAAAAGGTCATGGCAGAGCCAATGAACCAAGGACAGGTCACAGTCCTTCCGGGCCATCTGGATTGGTAGTCTAGGACTAAAGCAGAGGGGAACCAAAGTACTGGGGATATGCTGTGAAGTAGGTACCGGGTTTGGGTGAACTTTGCAAGAGCATAGCCCTGTTGATAGGACCATAGAGTGGGTAGGTTGTTGACAGGGGAGTACCCTGAGCCTTGCTACTGGGTGACAGTACTTATTAAATTGGGTACAGCCTGGGTTCCTAGCAGAAAGGAAAACCAAATGTCAAGTTAGATGGCACCTTGATGTACAGGAACTTATGGGGCTAACTGCGAAGTGGGTACAGAAGATCAGAGGGTTTAAATAAGCAATCTCCTAGCAGGTTGCAGGTATGGTAGCTAGTGTAGAACCTTCGGGTGGACTACTTAAATAGGCAACCAAAAGTTGTATATGTGGCTAGTTGTATGCTCATCAATGTACCAAAAAAATGTTTGTAAATAAGCATATAAAAAAACACAATAAAGCGTTAGCATCCGTGATATTGGTTTAAAAAATAAATAAATAAAAAAAAAAAAAAGTTAATATCATTTTAAATGCTGCTTAGAAGAATGAAATTTCTATATAATAAAAGCTTTATTATTTTATAATTTTTAATACAATAAAAGCTTTGAATTAAATAACTATTTATATACTATATAGACTTGTATAAGTTACTAGGGATATTAAAATAATCTAATAATCTGATTTTTATTAATGCAGGTTTGATTATTAATATATAGAGATTTGTTTCAATGAATAGTATATTTGAATATAAATTTTTTTCATCAATTAAATGCAAAATTTGTATATACAGTATATCATGCTCAATCTAGAAGTTTTCTTTATTGATTTATTTATTTTAATAAACTTTTAAGTATAAAATTCATTATATATTGTTTTAATTTATTATTGTTTTAAATCAACAACTCTATTTCATAATCATCAATATTTAATAAATATTCAGTGAATATTCGAAATATTAATTTGAAATTTGCTAATAAATATATAGATATTAAAAAGATTGAATGAATGAATATTTAGACACACACTTATTTGCCTAGTTCTATATTATATCCAATTACTAAAAAAATGCTGACTTCAAACTAAAGATGATGATTGATCAAAATTTATATATAATTGATTATGAATAATTGATTATACTTAGTAGTTTTGTTTATATCTTTAAAGCTCTAAATTAAATCTTTAGTAATTAATGTATTCAAATTCAAATTTGATTTTTCTCATAATGATTGACTATTTAATCATCATGCGATCAATCATTATCTCTTCTTTAAGCAAAAAAGCTAAGAAAAGAGAAAGTTAGTTTTGGTAAATGAGCAAAAAAAAAAAGCTGTTGCTTATCTGAAGGCTAGTTTCTAGTTTCACTTTATGTTTAATTGTTAAAAAAAAAAATACTGATTTCAAACAAAAAAATACCTAAAGTTAATATAAAACTAAAAAAAAATAAAATAAAATAAAAAAGCTAATACTTATCAAAAGATTAGCTCTGGCCTGTTTTACATATAATTGCCAATTTCAAACAAAAAACAAAAAAAAATATGAAAATAGGTTCATACTCTGACAAAAAAAAACTGATAAAGAAAAAAGGCTAATATTTGTTCAAAAACTAGCCTTAGCCTATTTCATATCCAATTACTAATTTCAACTAAAAAAAAATACTTATAGAAGAAAATTTTTAGCTCCATGCTAAAAAAAAAACTGTTTCAAAGACCAGCCTAGTTTATTTTATATCCAGTTATCAAATTCAATAAAAAAGAAAATATATACTTAAGAAAATACTTCTTCTCATATATTTCTTATAAGTTTTTCTCTTCTTTGC